TATATATATATCATAGATAAGCGTACATTCACTGTTTACCTATACACGCGATTTCATCACCTGAAATACACTACACACTCACACAGATGTTCTCGTAACGTCATCGCGAATATGTAAGATCTACCCACACCCAAAAAAAAATATTCGAGAGAAAAACACGCAAAAATCGAAACGATATCAGTAACCGCGAGGACGACGAACTTCGAACACTTCATCTCAATGCTACACGCCCTTACGCGAAAAAATATGACGAGACGCGTAAAAACAACCCCACAAAAATCCATGCGTAATCATCGCCGCCTTAAACGCTCTTCCGCCTGCGCGCATAGATCTCATGTACGGAAACACCGCACACAACTTACATTTGCGCGTCGAATCTGGACTTGTCTCTAGATTTGCCGATACGAGGTCAGTTTTGCTCATGCTGTTGTCTGATATATGTTATACTGATGTCGCGACATCTCAGACGTATAGCCACCCGCGGCATTGCGTAATCACTGCCAAGCTGCGATTCGTCTGCGCTGTCAGCGCGGGTCAACGACCCCCTTCTAAAAAAATCTGGATGACCCTGAATGATGCTAATGTCGCATCTATTGAGACGCGTTATGTCCTTTTCTTGCGTCGTTTGGCGCTGCCTTTGTTTTGTGGCATTCTTCGAAAGGTGAGAACGCGTCACTGCTTTGTGACGCGAGTGTCCGCGCGGTATACCAGGTGGTCAGAGAGGGTATTGTATGTTCTACGGATGAGTCATGACGAAATACTGGCGTCTGTCGGCGTCTCCCTCGCGATCGCAAAAACTTGCGACGTAACAGCAAAACTACTCGTCCCTTCACCGATAATATATTAGTGTTGTGAGGAAAAACCATTTGGATTTCAAATATTCGCGGACAAGAGCAAGAAAAACATGCGTGACACTCACTCCCCGCTCCTTGTTTTCCTGCATCCGTGCTTCCCTCTCTTCTTTCCTGCTTTCCTACACCGCACGGGGGGGAGTGGGAGAGACGCAACACCGACGATGATTAACAAGTGTGGAATGAGCAGACGCTCGTGAAGGAAGCCACTGTGGGCTTCACCCGCCACCGCCGCCGCCGCAGCAGCAGCAGCAGCAGCTTCCGCGTGCAGCGATACTCGGGCAGCTATGCGCGGAATGTTCGCTGACGTTGTCACGGCGACTAGCGCCAACAGAAGCACCAATAAACACGTTGGCGAGCCGCCCTTCCGTCCGTCGGTGGTTACACTGAGGCGGCGGCGCAATGCGGCAGCATGGAATGTGGTATGTAAACCACGAGGCGACACGCGGCGAGCAGGAAAAACACGGATAGAAAGAAAACGCGCTTTATTTCTGCGCGCGGTGAGAAGTGTTCGTTGGTAGTTTCTTCCTTTCACGTTTCATCCCTCGGCATGTTCGTATAAACAACATGGCGTCGTTTTTAGTTTTATTTTATTTATTTTTTTGCTAGATGAAATGCTTTGGAGTGGTTATGTCAAAGCTTAAAAACTGTTAAGCTCAAAAACCTTTTTTAGTCGACCTTTGGAAGATACCCGCGCCTTTACGAAATTAAAATATTTCAGTACATACTCGACACACTGCGTTGGTCCGTTTACACAACAGAGAGCGCAATTGAGTTTCGTAGATCTACGTAAACTCACAAGTCAATAGTAACACGAGAATTTTGCACCGACCGCATGCACTGAATTGCGCAAACGTGCACAACTAAAAAACAATCGAACTTTACTACAGCTCCCGCTATTTGAAAATAATTTGGCGAAAACCTAAGAACGTTTGGCGACGGACGGAACTGCCAACCGATAGCAGGTAGACAGATCTATCTTTCTGTGAGTTTGTGCGTGGAGGAAGTGCGTGTGGAGGTACTGTGTAGTAGGTACTGCGTGCCAACATGTTCGGCTGGCATCTATGACAAATACGACATACGCGTATATACGCTCTCCTATGTCACTATTTGTCATAGGAAGATTCTTCCTATGACAAATATTGGCGAGTCAACTTCGTTCTGTTTTACAGCTGAAATTCACTGCTTGCGTTCATAATAGCGCTCCTAAACTCATATGATGCGCACAACACATACAACAATATTTGGCATAGGAAGAATCTTCCTATGACAAATATAGTGTCATAGGAGAGCGTATATGCGTATGTCGTATTTGTCATAGATGCTAGCAGAACAGGCCGTGCGTGCCTGCCCGGGGCATTTGAACGGCGTTTGCGAGGAATGATTAGGCGATAAATTCAAGAGTATATTACATAACAACATGCAAACTTTAGTAGCCATCTACATTTTGCGTGAATTTCCTCACGTGCTGTTGAACCTGCCCCCCCCATCCCACCCCAGCGTCTATGTACCCGGTAGCAGGTCACCTGCTATACGTCTGAGTGTAACGGGTGAAGAGATGGGCAGCGTTAGATAACGGTAACGCGGGGTTAGAGGGACGAACTTTCAGATAACGGCAAGTCTATGTCAAGGAACGCGAACCGCGGAAATGCGGCAGTCGCTATCGTTCGCTGACCGATATAGCGTAACAGGTGCGTGAGTCATCGTGCGTTTCGCGCACCTGGCGTGAGCTCACCTGTGCAGGCGACTACGTGTCTACCTTCACCAGCGAAATGCGTGTATATGAACAGCGATCATCGCACACCTGGAATACTCATCGCTCAGGTATGTGCATTCCTCGACCGTCGACTCAGAATACGCGTCCGATCGCCTGCCATCGTTGACAGCGGTCGCGTCCGCGCGTGCGACCGATGCTGCACGCGTTACTCAGCGGTAGCGTATGTTTGTGTTGTTACTGAGTTACTCACCTGCAGTTTTCGCCCGTCCCGCCCCCTTCATCAACAACACACACACACACGCACACACACACACGCGCACACACACACAGCACATGGCACACACACACACAGACACACAACATGAAACCACACACAACCCCACACACACACACACACACACAACACACACAGCACACCAACACACACACCACACACACACAGCACACACACACCCACACACCACCACGCAGCGCAGCGCGCGCGAGTTATCTCATCCAGGGCCATTAGCGTGCGAGTCAGTGAGTGGCATAAGGATCTTGCGCGATTGTTATTTAACGCTGGGTGAGTAAAGGATTGGAGACGCATTTTTTTTCTAAATCTAATCAGGCGCAGCATACGAAGGTATACGATAATAAACACAAACACACACACGCGCGCACGCACGCCCGCACGCACATACACACACAGTATATCAAGAGCTAATAATACCTATTAATACCTAGGTGTTAGTAGCCTTGACTATTAATGTTTGTGTATATATATATAATATATATATATATATAACATATATATATATATATAATAAGCGTACATTCACTGTTTACCTATACACGCGATTTCTCACCTGAAAAATAACTACACACTCACACAGATGTTCTCGGTAACGTCATCGCGAATTAGGTAAGATCTACCCACACCCAAAAAAAAATATTCGAGAGAAAAACACGCAAAAAATCGGAAACGATATCGTAAACGCGAGGACGACGAATTCTCGAACACTTAATCTCAATTGCTACACGCCTTACGCCGATAAAAATATGACGAGATCCGAAATAAAAAGCAACCCACACAAATCATGCGTAATCATCGCCGCTTAACCCCTCTTCCGCCTGCGTGCATAGATCTCATGCTTACGGAAGACCGCACACAAAACTTACATTTGACGCGTCGAATCTGGACTTTGTCTTCTAGATTTGGCGATACGAGCGTTCAGTTCTGACTCCATGCTGTTGTCTGGTATATGTTATACTGCATGTGCTGACATCTCGACGTATAGCACCCGCGGCATTGCGTAATCCTGCAAGCTGCGATTCGTCTGCGCTGTAGCGCGGTGTCAACGACCCCCTTTCTAAAAAAATCTGGATGACCTGAATGATGCTAATCGTCGCATCTATTGTAGACGCGTTATGTCCATTTTCTGTGCGTTGTTTGGCGCTGCTTTGTTTTGTGGCATCTCGAAAGCGTCGAGAACGCGTCACTGCTTTGTGACGCGAGTGTCCGCGCGGGTATACCAGGTTCGGATGAGAGGGTATATGTATGTCTTTACGGATGAGATCTATGCACGAAATTACTGGCGCTCTGTCTGCGCGTTCCTCGCGATCGCAGAAAATTGCGACCCGTACAGGCAAAACTACTAGTCCCTTCACCGATAATATATTAGTGTTGTGAGGAAAAACATTTGGATTTTCTAATGACGATAACGGCAATACAACTCTGCATAGCATAACACATCACAGTACCACCGCATGGCATAACACATCCCAGTACACCGCTGGATTCAACACATCACAGTAAACACGCATAGTGCCATAACACATCAACAGTTAACACCGCATGGCATAACACATCCAGTATAACACCGCATGGCAGCATACAATCACAGTAACACCCGCATGGCATAACACATCACAGTAACACCGCATGGCATAACACATCACAGTAACACCGCATGGCATAACACATCACAGTAACACCGCATGGCATAACACATCACAGTAACACCGCATGCCAAGCAACTCACAGTAACACGATGGCCCATGACACATCGACACCAGCACAGTAACACCGCATGGCATAACACATCACAGTAACACCGCAGGCTAAACATAGTACGCCGGCATAACACATCACAGTAACACAGCATGGCATAACACATCCCAGTAACACGACATAACATAATATAGCACAGCAGCACGACATGGCATAGCACAAAATACCTCATGTGACCACCCCACACATACATACAGTCCTCCTTCGATGAATTTGCAGTCCACCCCTCCTGCCTCCAGCTCCCACCACGTTCGTGATACACCTGCTTCTACCATGGTGCATGCTGTGCTGGGTCGTTTTTATGTGTTATACCATGCCATGTTGCTATTATATATTATGTTGTTCCGTGTTAATGTTATGTGTTATGTTATGTAGTGTTGCCGTTATGTGTTATCCTATGCTGCGCCGCAGTGATGTATTATGCCGCGCTGTTGCTATGTGGTATGTTATGCCCTATTGCGAAAATCACGGACTAAAGGAAACAGCGAGGACAGAATCGGACACGGACACAAGAACCGTCAAACGTTTGAATAGGGGGAAAGTTGCGGTGAATTCTAGAATGTTCTCGAAACACCGTCGTCGTAAAATATCCTGCCGAACGCGTGTCAACCGTGTGAAATACCGACGCATGAACTTTCCCGCATGCGCCAAGAAAAACTATGACGACACTTACAGCGGAATCTAGGCGAATGACCTCTAGGCTGACGAAAGAGAAAGTTCGAGAAGCACCCCAGGGGAATCACCTGAGCAGGTATAAACATCGCAAGTCGTGACCAAGGCTGGTGCTTAATTAGCACCCGAACCTC